TGAGCTCCTCATATGCTGCACTGAACCAGCTCCCCTCCATTCTTCCTCATGTCAGCTAATGGCATTTCCATCCTTGGTGTCGTCCTTGACTCCCTCCTTTCTCTCCAACATCCAGTCTGTTAACAAGTCCTGACACTCTACTTTCAAAATATATCCGGAATTTCAGTTTCTCACCATCCACCACCACTCTCCTGGTTCAAGCCAATGTCCTCTCTTGACTGGATTCTTGCAGCAACCTCCTAATTGCTCTCCTGGCTTCTGCCCTCCCTGCAGGCTATTCTCAACACAATACTCAGAGTGATCTAGTTAAGATGTAAGTCAGATCATGCCACTCCTTTACTCAAAACCTGCTCAAGGGTCCATCTCACTCAAAGTAAAGGTGGAATCCCTTATGATGACCTCTGAGACCTTCCATGACTTGGCCCACCATTATTCCCTTATCTCCTACAACTCCCCCCTTGTTCATCTGCTCCAGCCCCAACTTCCCTGGATGTGCCAGGAACACTCCTTCTTCAGGGCCTTTGTGCTTGTGGTTTCCTCTGCCTGGAATCCTCTGTCACATTTAGCCACATGGCTAACTTCTCACTTCCTTCAAGTCTTTTACTCAAAAGCTATAGTGTCAGTAAGGCCCTCCTTAGACGCCCTATTTAAAATTTCAGCACCTGCCCTTGACGTCATATTCTCCTTCTCTGCTTTATTTTTTTTCTTAGTCTTTACCACTGACATACTCTATATTTTGCTTATTTATATTGTGTATTAGCTGTCTTCCCTAGCAGAATATATATATATATATAATCTCCCTACCAGAATCCCCCTGCTCCCCAATGACAGGGATTTTTGTCTGTTTTGTTCACTTTTTATCTCCAGGGCTAGGACAGTACCTGGCACATGGCAGGCACTCGATAAATTTGTTAATCCCACATTTTGCAGACGAGAAGCCTGAGGCTCAGTGTGATTAAATAACTAACTCGAGATCACACAGCTAGGAAGTGGCAGAGTTGGGTAGTTTAACGCTCTATGATGCTTTATGACGTAAAAAGCCCATTTGGCAAAAAGAGCAATATCAGTGGTCCCTCTCCAGCCTTCCTCCCTCCCACCAGTTCAAGAAAGGAAATCCTTTACATGACAGAGGATTAGGTGCTGGAGGCTCCGTGGAGTTGCTCTGTGGGCCCTTGGCCAGGGTGTTCAGGTTTCAGTGTTATTAAGCAAGGAAGCCAGGGAGCCATCTCAGCACTTTTGCTGAGGCAAGACGGCCAGTGGCTGTAATTAAATGGAGACCAGCTGCTCGAGGCGAATGGCGCGCAGGAGGAAGGGGTACTCTGCTGCACGGGAAGAGAGGCTGAGTCTGTTTGAAATGGTTGGGGAGAATTTTTACACAGTCATCAGCATCAAGACCCACCTCATTGGCAATCCCACCCAGACTCGCCATGCCCCCTTAAAATTCCTTCCTCTCCCATCCATTCCATTGAACATACAAAGAGGAATCCTAGCAGAATACAGGAAGAGCAGTCAGAGAACAACCCTGTCATTCTGTGAAAGCTTTGTTGGAATGAGGGCAACAATTTTTAAACAGTGTCTGTTTTTGAGGAAGAGGAAGTTTGGCTGGACGGTGGTTGTGCCAGGAGGTGAAGCCCAGGCCTTTCTCTCCTCCCACTTGGGGAGCCACTTTGCTGGCGCTCTCCCTCTGCAGGGACCCAGCCTCCTCGGGGAGTGTAGCTTCTAGAACCAGAGCCCAGGCAGGCTTCCCTGAACGATTCAGAGGGAAGAGGCTGGAGCAGAGTGTGAGTGAAAGCTGAGTCCTGCAGGCTGTGGTCAAACCAGACAAGGCAGATTCCATAGGGTTTGGGCAGAGCAAGGGCCCGGCCTCGCCCCGGGGGAACCATGGCACCTCTCTCAGCCGCGGGGCCCTCATTGCTGGAGTATGTCCATCCCGAGTCCACTGCGAGGAGGGAGAGAAGGCCTGTGACATGCTGAGCCTGGTGTCCGGAACAGAGCAAGTCCTCAGTACATGTGTTTTCTTTCTCCTTTTCAGGAGCAAAATGAGGGGCCAAGATAATGGCTCAGAACAGGACGAGGAGAGGCTCTTTTCACAGGTACTGGGTTGTAACCCAGAGAGCGGAGGAAGAGAAGCTTAAGTTGCAAAATGCCTGCTGTTGGCAATGTTCAGCTGCTTCTTTTCCTCCTCAGAGGTGCACACGAGGAGCAGCAGACCCTTGGCTCTGGGCACGTCTTCCGTTTTGCCTTCGGAGCCCCTGCCTCTTCACACACTCACCACCAGTTCCCAGTTCCCAGGGCCAGTGCCTGTGGGCTTCACCCAGACCCCCTCTTCAGCTGATGCTTCCACCCCCCAGCTGCTGTCCTTTCTGGGAATTGCCCTTGCCCACATGGAACTGCCTTGCCCAAGACTTCATCCCTCCCAGGGGACACCCTGAGGCCAATGGCTGGATGATGTGGGATACCTTTCTGTTTGGGACAACTCTGAAGGGTCATCCAGCCCCAGAGCTTTCATTGGATCTGCTGAGACTCATTGTGGGTGAGCTTCTCCCTCAGCCCAGGCCTGCCTTCCTCCCTCCCTTCGGTATCTCTCAAGAGCACTCTCCAAAAGCCTTCTGCGCCTGACTCTCGGCAGCCCAATCTGACTCTCGGGAGCCCAGTTGAAGATTACCAGTCCCTTTGACTGTTGTCTTTGCCTCTCCAACCACAGCCCATACATCTAACACCTACGTCTCAGGCACCCTCTTTCCGTTCTTGTATCCCAGTGCAGCCATCTTGTATCCCAACGACTGGAAAACAGATGCCAATGGGTTACTATGTTGCCCAATAAAACAATTATCATTATGGGAACTGACACTTATGCACAGCTAGCAATCTGCAAAACACACTTACATACGTGATTTCATTTGAAAAGCAGAATAACCTGATAGTCTCTGAAGTGATTCTGCCTGGATTTGAATCTTGGTCTTACTACTTATTAGTCTAGTGACCTTGGCCCAGCAACATAATTTTTCTGCCGCTCAATTTCCCCATCTGCAAAATGAGGATAATAATAGTCTCTTGCTCTTAGAGTTTTTGTTAGAATTAAATGAGTCAGTACATGTAAAGGTCTCAGAGTAGTCATGACACACGGCAGCACATACTATACCCTTTTTTTTTTTTTTTGTGAGGAGGACCAGCCCTGGGCTAACATCCAACGCCAATCCTCCTCTTTTTTGCTGAGGAAGACTGGCCCTGGGCTGACATCCGTGCCCATCTTCCTCTACTTTATATGGGATGCCGCCACAGCATGGCTTAATAAGCGGTGCGTTGGTGCGTGCCCGGGATCCGAACCGGTGAACCCCTGGCTGCTGCAGCGGAGCGCGTGCACTTAACTGCTTGCGCCACTGGGCCGGCCCCCCAAGCACATACTATACCTTAACAATTAGTATTTTGATCCTCACAGGAACCCTGTGAGGTATTATCATTACTACCTGTGTTGGACACCTCTTGTGCTCCGCCTCATATTCTTGGTCCACCTTTTGATTCTAGCTGTTGCTACAGCCACCGCTGGCACAGGTATAACCCAACAGCACCTTGCTCAGCTCTACTGCTTATTTCTTACTTCCTGCCCTGGCTTCTTTGCCACCTCAACCTGAGATGCCTGTGGAATTCACTCAGCCATTCTGAGCCAAGCAAACACGGAAGTGTGAGGGAGCTAATGTCCCATGTGGCATCCCTTGACCAAGGGGGAGTTGGAGCCAATGAGAAAATAGTCCCTTCTTTCATTCTTGAGAGGATAATTCTGAGGTATATTTTGTCCCATCAAGGTGTAAGTTCAGCTGCCCATAGCAGTGGGCACCCTTGGCTTGGCTTTCCCTTCTTCCCTGTTTCACTTTTCTCCGTTGCCCACTCCTTGAGTTTCCTTGAGCTCCCTTCCCAAAATAAAATACCCACACACAGGCCCTTGCCTCACACTCTGCTTTTTGGGGAACCAGCTAACTGTGCACAAGAGGAGAGTGAAAGAATAAAAAGAGGCCTGTTCAACATCTAGAACCACATCTGGACTCGAGTCAAAGTCTTCCACCTCCCAACTCTCGTTCTCTCTCACTGTGCCATCTCCCAATTTATACATATGCATCTTAACAGAGGCCTTCTGGAAGCTTGATTAGCCAGTGGGAGGCCAGGGTGAAAATAGCTATGAACAGGTGGCTTTGGACACTTTCATGTCACAGCCCCTCTCCTGTCCCTATATAGAGCTGGTCCTGCAAGGTCAGAGGGTGGATAACAGTGGTTCCACCTGATGGAAGGAAGCCTGGGGCAGGGACTGTGTGGGATTTGTGTCTATATCACCAGTACTCAGGGCCTGGCGTATAGTAGGCATGCAGTAAGTGTTTGCCGGATACACAGGTCCAGAAGTCAAACTATCAGTGGTTTCTTCTCTATGATTTTTTATGTGGCCTGTTCCTATATTTTTTATTTTTATGCTAATTTGGAATGTAATCTTTAATGGACAGAGAACATTTTTGAGAGGGGGTTGTTTACCTTTTTACCAAGCTAATAAGTTACTACAGAATTGTGTGCTTGAAAATTATTCAAGAAATACTGAATATTTCTTGAAATTGTTCAAGAAACCCTGATTATCAGGTTGATTGACTGATGAAAGAAATAGCTAGGAGCTGTCAAACTGGTGGCTTGTAGGACAAATGTAGCTCTAAGATACATGGGTTTCGCCAGCACAATGTTGATTATTTTATATTGAAATTCCTTTGAAATATGCTACAGGCCTTACCACTTCCTCTAGCATTCTACCTATCCTAATTCTTAAATTTATGTTACCTGCCTAACCCTTGTAGGTATACGGGTTTGTGACTCCTGCACAGAGTGACACACAACAGGGCACTCCTTCTACAGGAAGAGTTGAAGGAGCTGACCGGCACAATTCCTGACTTTTCCCGTAGCTTGCTCAGCCTATCCCCACTGCCATCAACAGGTGCCCAATGATAGCATAATATCCTGCCTTCCAGGTACTATAAGATCTCCGTGGTGCTCATGTGCTTTGTGGTCCCCACATTGGTGCCCTGGTGCGTCTGGGAAGAGAGTCTGTGGAATTCCTACTTCTTGGCCTCCATCCTCCGCTATACCATCTCACTCAATATCACCTGGCTGGTCAACAGTGCCGCCCACATGTATGGAAACCGGCCCTACGACAAGCACATCAGCCCTCGGCAGAACCCACTGGTCACTCTGGGCGCCATTGGTGAGTAGGGGTGTGAGAGCCAATGGGGAGAATGGCAGCTCTGATTTTCTTGGCTTCTCAATGGTTTTGTGGAATCTTGAAATAGAGGCGGTGGGGTAGAATGAACTTGGGCTTTGGGGTTAGAATCCTGGCTCTTGGACAAGTTAGGTAATCTCTCTGATTTATAGTTTTCTTATCTGTGAAATGAGAATAGCAATGCCTACTTCATAGGGATGTTGTAAGGATTAAGTAAGATACTATTAGTAAATTGCTTGGTACTGTGCCTGGAGCAGAGTAGGTGATCAATAATTAGTAGCTATTTATTTTTACCATGGAAATTTTCCAAAAGGAGGAGTAGCAGTTGACTTCTCTCTCAGACTGCCCTGACCACTCCAGCCTCAGCTGTCCAGTCATTTGGCTGACTGTAAGAAAAAGGCCTTCAAACAGAGAGATGGGAAGAAACAAGACCTTGGCGTCTCATGGTACCACAAAGTGGTTAAGAGTGAGGCCTCTGGAGTCCGACAAGTTTGGTGGAGTCCTGGTTCCTCCACTTACTCTCTGGGCAAGTTATCTGGCTCCTCCACACCTCATGTCCTCATCTGTAAAGGGGGGATAATAGTAACATTTGTCTCCTCCTGGGGTCATTGGAGGGTTAGATGAGTTGATACATAGCGTTTGCAGCACCATTTAGCATGAAATAAGCCATCAATGATGATGTTTTTATTACTAGCCATGTGGTCTTAGGCAAGTTACTTGTCCCTTCTGTGCATTTACATCCTCATTTTAAAATGAGGATAATAACAGCAGCTAGCTCAGAGATGTGAGGATTATAGGAGTTAATACCCGTCAAAGCACTTAGCCCTGGCTGGCACACAGTCAGTGATTAATAAATATTAGCTGTACTTTATAGAAGCAACTCAGTATTCTGAGGTAAGGGGAGCCTTGAGCACAGAGATCAAAGCCAGGAAGGAAAGTTCCTACTGTTAAGTAGAAATGGTCTCTGCATCACTCAGCAATGAATTTCTGCCACCACTTTATTAGGGTCATCCATTTATTAAGACCCCGGGGATCTTGCATTGACAAGAGCAATATAAGCAGGAATAAACACTAAATTTAGCTATGGGATAACTGAATAAGCAGAGAGAAAAGTGCCTTGGAAAACAGGAGGAAGAGTTGTCTGACTCTCCTATTGCTTTCTCCTCCTCTCACCCTTCATCTTCTAGAAGGACTATAATGAAGGGGGCCACATCCTGAGAGCAGACAGGAGAGGGGACAATATGGACTGTTACCATCTTATATAAGGATTGATGGGCCAAGAAACCCAAGGAGCGTGGTCATGACACAGCCCTGAAGAGCTGGGTATTTATTGGTTTTCAGTCTATCCAGGTCAACACTGGACTCCCAGTCAGTTTTCTTTTTTTTTTTTTTTAATTTTTATTTATTTTTTTCCCTCCAAAGCCCCAGTGGATAGTTGTATGTCATAGCTGCACATCCTTCTAGTTGCTGTATGTGGGACACGGCCTCAGCATGGCCGGAGAAGCGGTGTGTCGGTGCGCTCCCGGGATCCGAACCCGGGCCGCCAGCAGCGGAGCGCACGCACTTAACCGCTAAGCCATGGGGCCGGCCCTCAGTTTTCTTCATAAAGTTTCTTAGAAGGGTCTTGTTACACCCAACTGTGCAGTAGATGGGAAATACATACAGAGTTCTTAGAACAGTGCCTGTTTCTGAAAATAGGAGAAAAACTTCTCTATAGTGTACTCTAGTCCATCTAAAAATGATGAAGGTAGAGGAGCAGAGTAGAGAAAACCTACATTAATAAGAAGATTGCAGACCACAGATTGATCCTTCTTATGTATTCATTGTAAAGCGAAATCCTTCAAATGTGGTCTCCAGCAACTCCACTCCTAGCTTTATACCCAAGAGAAATGAAAATGTATGTCCACACAAAAACTCGTATATGAATGCTCATAGCAACATTATTCATAATAGCTAAAAAGTGGAAATAATCCGAATGTCTATCAACTGATGAACGGATAAACACAATGGTATAAATACAATGGTATAGTAAATGGTGGTATATCCATATAATGGAATACTATTTGGCAATAAAAAGAAATGAAATACTAATACCTACTACAACCTTGAAAATATGCTGAGTGAAAGAAACCAGTCACATAGGACTACATATTGTATGATTTCATTTATATGAAATGTTCAGAACAGGCAAATCTATAGAGGTTGTGTTAGTCAAGGTTCTCCAGAGAAACAGAAACAGTATATATATATATATATGCTGTTACATATATTATATATGTTCCTCATAATAAATCTCCATATATATATTATATATACAGAAAGAGTAGGATATGTTTATCTATATAAACATAGATGTATCCTAATGTTTCTGTATATAGACAGATTATAGATAGATATCCTACTCTTTCTATATGTATATATATAGGGAGAGAGATTTACTATGAGGAATTGGCTGATGCGATTATGGAGGCTGAGAAGCCCCACCATCTGCCTTCTGCAAGCTGGAGACCTGGGAAAGCCGGTAGTATAGTTAAATCCGAGTCCAAAGGCCTGAGAACCAGGGAGCCAATAGTGTAAGTTCCAGTCTGAAGGCAGGAGAAGATGGGATAGATGTCCCAGTTCAATCAGTGAGTCAGGAAAAATGGGGCAAATTCCTCCTTCCTCCACCAATTGGCCCTTAATGGATTGGATAATGCCCACCCACACTGGGGAGGGCCAGCTACTTTACTGAGTCCACTGATTCAAATGCTAATCTCATCCAGAAACACCCTCACAGACACACCAGAATAATATTTACTCTGGGCACCCCTTGGTAAGTCAAGTTGACACATAGAATTAACCATTGTGGACATAGAAAGTAGGGCTGGGAGGGATTGGGGGATGGCAGCTAAGGGGTGTGGAGTTTCCTTTTAGGTAATGAAAATGTTGTAATTCATTGTGGTGATGGATGCACAACTCTGTAAATATACTAAAAGCCATTAACTTGTATACTTTAAATGGGTGAATTGCATGATAAGTGAGTTATATCTCAATAAAGCTGTTTTAAAAAATCAAATGGAAGAAGCCCTGAGACCCCTCCTGAAACACTTTAAAAAAAAAAAAAAAAAAAGAGTAAGGGAGGAAAGGCTTTTCACTGAGAGGGTAGAATAATATAAAGGTAGATTTTGGATATTTAATAATAAAATGCCCCAGCTCCTGAATTTACTCACCTATCTGAACGATTCTTGTTTATGTCTTCCAAGCTCTCCCAAGAAGTCTTCCTTTAATCACCCCAGTCTGCAGAGACTATTTTCCTTTTCTGAACATACATCAAAATGATGATCTGTTATCAGCCATTTAGCATTTAGCTTAAGAAGTACAGCTCTGAAGTCATGGTAGCATATCTACAATTCATCTGGGAAAATTAATCTTGTGACTTTATGCTGATTATTGTTATTTTTCTGTTCATATTTAGTTTGTCTAGCCAACTAAGTAAACACTTCCTAAGGGCAGGAACCAAGTCTTTTGCTCACCAGAGAGCCTGACACAGTGTCTTGCACATGGTAGACCCTCAATAAATGAGTGATTAAAAAACTTGTGCAGAGTGGTGGTGATTGGGTTATTTCAAGGTCACTCTGTCTTCCAGGTGAAGGCTTCCACAATTACCATCATACCTTTCCCTTTGACTACTCTGCGAGTGAATTTGGCCTAAATTTCAACCCAACCACCTGGTTCATTGACTTCATGTGCTGGCTGGGACTGGCCACTGACCGCAAACGGGCAACCAAGCCGATGATCGAGGCCCGGAAAGCCAGGACTGGAGATGGCAGCGCTTGAACCTGGATCCGCCATCCAGTGTGTCTGCCGATGACACCTCGGTTCACGGCTTTTGTTACTACAGTTCTCTTGTTCATTGGATTGTGCAAGAGGGTAGAGGGTGGGGAGGGAATGGAATCTATGTGGTTTGGAAATTTTGTGTTTGTCTCAAAATAGCGTCAAGATACAACTCTCAATGAAAAAAATTTTTTAAAGTCAATGTAACTATGATTTAACATTAGTGCGTGGATATGTGATTTAATTGCTGTCACTACAGTATGTCAAACATACATAGTTGTGTGCTTGTACATGTTAACCCTAATAGGATGAAGGAATTTAATATTCTTTCAGTGCGATTCAGGAGAGCATCTGTTTTCTTTTCTACCAGTTAACCCAGTATTACTTTTAAACACACAATCTGAAGGAGCAGAGAGGCAGGGTAGAAGACAAAAGAAGATCTAAGTAGTCACTACAGAATGTTTCTGTTTTGTAACTATTGAGTGTGTGTTTTTGTTGTTTTTTAAGTAAGAGAATGGAAACCTTTAAAAAATGAGAATACAGGAAATGGCTCTCTTATTTTTTTGCCCTGTTTGCAGCTTGTTAATGCTCCACGGCCTTTGCTTCAAAAGACCTCTGTTCAGTGTCCAGCTAGCACTGTACCCCGAACTATACACCCAGCCGACCCTACACATCAGTGCCTGTTTAGGTGTTTGATTTTGCTCTCTTTGCTGTTGTCATTTTAAAGGTGTATAACTCAGATGTGCCAGACATCAAATTAAGCTCAAATTAAGCTCTCATTTAGACGTTTAGACACCTAATTTATATTCTAATTGATCCCAGCCACTGATGCATGTACTTGAGCTACTTCTGCTAAATAAGCGTATTAATTTTCCACACCAGGCCATCAGACCTTACTAACCGACGGTTACCTAGAATTCAGTGTCTATTGATGTTTCACCTGCATGTGGTCTTCATTGATTTTGCAGCAAAATATAAAGTGATCATTATGTAGCTTCCGGATTAAAAAAATTTTGTGTGTTAAGTTGCCTTGTAAAGAGCATGTTGAATTAACGGGACGTTGTGCCCTTTGTGTTAGACGTTAGAGCAAAGGAAGGAAAGGTTTATTGTGTTGGCATCGGAGCGCTTTGAAGGTAGATATTTTCAGGAAGGATGTAGGATTTAAAATTTTTGACAGAGAAGTGATGCCAATAGGAAATTGTCATAATAAAGTTCTTCATCCAGCAGGTGTTTAACAGTGTTATTTTGCCATTAATAATGTGTAAACTATGAGTGATTTACAATAAATGATTATGAATTCGTTGGTGTTCTTGACCAGATACTTAAATCTCATTTAGAGAATGTCTCCCAAGGGTGCCTGTTGCTTCCTGATGACCATATGATTCACATTTGATTTGGGCTAACAACAGCCCCTGTGACCAGGCCTCTCCTCTCCCATCAGCCTTAGGCATAACTGGAGGGAAAGTCAGCAAGTTTTATTTGGAATGCAAAACCCCTAGTGGTGTCGTTCCCCATTTCTCACTCACTAACACTGTTGCTATACTGCTTCCAGCTGATAAATGGGAACCTCTACTGCTACATGTCACTCAAAAGAGCATGAGGGACACTCCTCCCTGAGCCCCGCCAGGCCCCAACAGTGGTGACCAGACGTGGGGGAGATGGACTCAACTCTCACTCCAGTCCTGCCTCTCTCAGCTTCGCCTCTGTGCTGCCTCAGTCTCTGCCCATCTTTTGCCCCAAAGCGTCTGTGCCCCTGCCATCAGATATAGACCTCTTAGCTGCCCACAGTGGAGTGGGATTCCAGCCTTTGGTGGGTGCCAGACCAGATCTCATCTTGTAAGGAGCCTTTGGACGTGACCATGGCATTTTTCATCTGCTTCATATGCTAGTCATATATTGCTAAGACCTTGTATGGAGTGCTGGTAGTGTGTAGTTGTGTTCCAAGATGAGTTTGTATCAGCATGACCTAAGATGGCCCAGATTGGGAATGTTTCTGTGAACCTTTGACCCCTAAAAGTACTAAACTTACTTGCTTGTGCATTAATAGCAAAGATTACACTTGGAACAGCTGTTTGGAATCTTCTCACCAAAGGAGGATATTCCCCAGCTAGTCCAAATAAATCCAGAACCCCACGCCTCTGAACCTGGGTGTCACGTCTTTATCTGCAGCAGTACCATAAATGAGATAAGGATTGGGATGGTTTTGACGAAGTAGTGGATGAAGGTTAGGCCACTCGAATGTCTTCCATATTAACATTCCCTGCAGGTCCAGCTGCACCTAAGGGAAGAGGGTCGCCCTGGGAGGTATCTCCCAAGCCTATCTAAGGTGGCCGTGGAGAGGTGGGTACATTTTTTGAAAAGTTCAGTTTAAAGTAAGGGAATGTCCTGTCTTTAGCCTCCTGTGTCCTGCAAGCCTTATTTCAGAAGCTCCCACCCCTGCGTTTAGGTGAGGGAGCCAGGGGGAGGCAATCCAATAGCGCTTATCCCATGTGTGTCACGGCGGCTACACGGGGCTAGCCTGGGGTGGCGGAGCCAACTCAAGTGCGCTTTGAGCCCCCAGTGGTGTTCCTGGCCAGCTGTGTGACCTTGAGAAAATCAGTGTTTCTAGATTCAGTTTTTTCATCTGCAAAGAGAGCAGGTGAAACCAAACTCTTGATCTAAATTGCTGTGTTACTAGGACATGTTTTTAAGCTGAACCACATGAAAGTGCCATTTACTAACCTACCCGAGCCTCTCTGAACCTCAGTGTCCTCATCCACAAGGTAGGAATAGTAATGCTTATGTGCATCAGGTAAATCTGGAGGCCTCAAGCCTAGGGCCTGGGGCCTCATTGATCCCCAGGAGACATCAGTTAAGGGTGAGTAGCATGTCCCAGACACCAGATGGAAAATGAGATGTACTCAAATAACTACAGGCTGGAAGTGAGAAGGACCAATGTCTAGTTCTGATTTTGCTACTAACTAGCTGGATGGTGAAGGGTAGCAGAATATGCCTAAAATATGCCATTTTGATATAGGATTTTTCAGCTAAAGGCACTTGAAAAACAGCAGATGCAAGAGGGGCACTTTGACTTCCCCTTTCTTCCTAAAAACAGGGGGTAAAAATCCCACGTGAAAGATGCCGTCTCTATATGAGGAGGAAAGAAATATTCTCATTACCAGAGATGGGGAGAAGGGGCTGAGAGAAATCAGTACAAACAAACCTTGTTAAATGACCCTTGTCTTCCTTTAGCCTCCCCATATATTTTAGTTACTTTTTCACAATTGCTACCTTTTATTCAACCTAGTATATAAGCACTTAGGCTCAACCACTTTTTGGGTCTTCATGTTCTGTGAAGGCTCGCATGTACGTGTGATAATAAAGTCTGTACACTTTTCTCCTGTTAATCTGTCTCATGTCAACGTAATTCTCAGGCCCAGCCTAACTGTAAGAGCATAAAGGAAAAGTTTTGCCTCCCCTACAATGGCCCTAACCCCTCAGAGCTGCAGCGTCGCTTCTGTAAAGGAACCCGACTGGATTGGGCTATGCTGTCCAGCTCTGCCGTTTTAGGAGTCTTTCCCCCTCTGTGTGAAGAAGCCCCAGCACACGGCAGGCCCTTTCCATGGTGTGCCTCCACCTAGGCTCTTGCGTGTCCTTCTTAACCTCTGGCCTCCTTCCTGCGCCTTCACACCTTGTCAGAGGACAAGTCTGGCCTGCAACGTCATTTATGCTTCTGTCAGCTCATTTTTCTCCTCATCAGGAGCTGGGATAGAAGATTTGTGGAGGGAAAAGGTTGAAGCTAGTGGATAAGAATGAGCTTGGGGGATTATCTGTGAGCTTCGTTGATCCATTTCACTCCTGGCCCCAATTACAGAAGAGACTGAAAGCCAGTTGCATTCTCAGTGGCTGCTCATGTGAAAAACAAGGAAGGAAAGAAATAACCTAACTTTTATAATCCTTTTTCATTTCCCCATTTTTAGTTCAGGGTGTTAGTCAAAATCCTTTCCTTCCCTTTCCGCGACGTCAAGCAAGTGCTATAAATGACCTGGAAACTCCTCTACTTGTTCTCCCTGGGGGCTGTAGAGTCCCTAACCACCCCTACTCCCCACCCCCAGGAATGTTCCTGGTGTCTAAATTTGCACCATCAGAAGCCAGAGGAAGGAAAGTGCTGGCCTCAGAATGCCGTAAGGCACCAAGCCTTTGTCTGAGCAACTCCTGTGGGCTCCTTGACCACCTTTTTCCTTCTGCTTCCTCTCACCCTCCCATGATGCCTCTGACTCTGCATCTAGAAGCCTAGTCAGCCGCATGCTGCCCTGACTTCTCACAGGATTCAAAAGGAAGAGCCTGGCTGACAGCAGCCTGAGCCTGCTAGGGCTGTGAAGCCTCTGCCCCGAGACAGTGCCCTGCCTTACAGCTCCTGACCTCCGGTTAGTATGGCAAAAAGAGACTTTGCTTTGACCACCTGTCCAAATCCTTACAACTCAGGATTTACTACATCCAGTAAATCCTGTCCTCTACAAGGCTGCCTTTCTTGTCATTGAGAGAAGTCTCCAAAGTTGCTTTTCTGATAGAAGCACCAACTGCTGGGCAGAGCCACCAACCCCTGTGCTGTTGGTGGACGAAGTAAAGGGTCCCACTGGAGCCCACCTGGTTGTATTTTTATTACCAGATTTTGCATAAGCCTGTGCTCACAGCATATGGGTCTCAAAACACAGGAGCTATGTGTAGAGGGTGCTCATGATCCTGGGCTGTATTAGAACACCGCGTGTGAGGGTGAGGGTGAGGGTGGGGGTGGGAGGAAGGGTACTACATACATGGTATAACCATTGTGATCATTGGTAGAGGATGAACTGGGCTCACTGGGCTATCCATTGTCTCAAAGCAAGAGCAAATGAACGGTATAGGTGATGACTTTCCAGTTCCAGCAGACAGGCTTCTCACACCTGAAGTGTAAGGATAGGTAAGATCCACTTCAGTCCCTTCCTGGCCCTGCAATGGCTGCCCATGAATGCAAGATCGGCTCTGTTAGAGCCAACTGGGCTCCCTCCAGGCGTTTCTCTGCACTAAAAGGCACTCAAGCTCCCAGCATCATAAAGTGCTTGTTCCAGATGTGCCAACCAATGAGCATGTCTATTTGCACTGTTCTCTGCAGCTCCTGCTAGACTGAGCTATTTGTAACACACAGGGGAGTCCGCTTGTTAGAAGGAATGTATACACAGTTGCACCACAGCCAACCAAGGCGAAAAATGATCTCAAAGTGGATACTTTGGGCTGGATGGTTTCAAATCACGATTTTAAAAGTGAAGACCTTGATTTTGCCTCTATGTGGGAAATTTTTAAGCGATAATATATTGGACCCTTTTCAACCACCTTTTTAGTCTATTTGAAGCCAGGGGCCTGGATCACTTTTAAGACACTGAAATGGACAGGCCATTTTGATGTGATTTTGTTTATACATTAGTTGACTCCGTGGGCTACATCTATGCAACGCTGGGGATGGTTAGGTTGTACTCTGTTGGGAGACAAACGGCCTAAGAAAAAACATGCAAAACCTCTGCTTCTTCATCTGTAATGTGTAAGAGTTAGAACAAATGATTTCATAGGTCCCTTCTTAGATCAAAAACTATAGGAATTAATAGCAAGCAAGCTTGGAAAATGCTAGATTCTGCTTTACCCAAGCAAAACATGTGGCCAGAAGCCATCCTAGTTTTGTATCCCTATAAAAGAAAAAAGGGAAGAGGCTTAAGGCCAGAGCATCGCTCAGGAAACTGACCATCTGTTGAAGTCCATGCAAACAGCTGGAGTTGGAGACAGAATCCTGACGCTGGTTGATGTCCATGGAACGTCACTGCGATGGCTGGATATTTCTAAACAAACTCATTTTTTTGTTTTGCTTTGAATTGTTTTGTTTTTTGTTTCCATCTAAGAGATGTCTTTAAAATGAGCATTGCTGTGTCCAGGACATTGCAGCATTATAAAACTTGGAAACAATAACATGCTTCAAAAAGAGCCACTAACTGTCACGTGCAATAACGATTTGGCTGCTGGAGTTCCATGCGCACAAAGCTCAGACCATTTAAACCATCCCCACAAACTTGTCTTGGTTAATCTGGTTGATACAATGTCTTTTGTTGTAAATTTGGTCCATTTTTTCCCCATTTGCTTTGAATTCAGCATGGCCACATAAAAGAGAAAGAGAAAATAAGACAGCTTGAAAAAGTGTAAAAATATAATTACTCTTTTGAAAGCAAACATATTTATTTTTTTTTTTTTGCTATCTCGACTTCACACGGCCTTCCAGCTCTAAATAGACAAATGCTC